TGTACCATGGCTCTATAACGCAGATACTCCTTTTAAATGAGAAAGTGAAGAAAAACAGTACAGGTTAATCCACTTAAAAATATGTACTTTTGGGGCTTCCCTGGTGGCGCAGTGGTTGAGAGTCTGCCTGCCGATGCAGGGGACACGGGTTCATGCCCCGGTCCGGGAGGATCCCACATGCCGCGGAGCGGCTGGACCGTGAGCCATGGCCACTGGGCCTGCGTGTCCGGAGTCTGTGCTCCGCAACGGGAGAGGCCACAACAGTGAGAGGCCTGCGTACCGCAAAAAAAAAAAAAAAAAAAAATGTACTTTTAAAATTTTATGCATGTTAACTGATTAGAATTAGGTAAAAACCATTGAGCTGTGAAGGAAAATTTTTAAGGGAAAGACACACGGAGCTGAATGAATGTGTGAAATGTAATTGTCTGGTAGACCCAGGTGGGTTCTAACCGCCTGGCTGTAGAGACTCCACTTGGATGACAGGAAAGGTCTTTCAAAGCAGCTACGGCAGAGTAGACACAAGAGTGGGGTCAGGGGCACGTGGGAGGCCCGATCCCACGGGCAGGAAAGAACCCGTGATTCCACCTCATGCTCTGCCTTCTCAATCGGCCGAAGTTACCTTCACTTAGTTTTGCTAAATATCTTCAAATGCGTGTGTCACACAGATGGTTGGCCCTGGAGTCTGGTTGTAGCTGCTGAACCCTTGCATTTTACCAACAATGAAACTGAGCGCTGGCTGGAGGGGAGACAGAGGCCAGGGCCTCTGGGGCAGCAACCTGAGGGGGGCTGGGAGGGGGGCGCCCACTCCAGCAGGGACCCGGGGAGCAGGACACCAGCGCTTTTTCACCAGGGCCGCTGTTGGCCTGCAGTGTGGCCTGAGCCCTGGACCTCATGAGAGCCTCCTGGGCCAGCTGGCCCCTGACTCCCTGTGGCTCCGACCCCACAGGGTGAGCCTCTGCCCTGTTGCCCCCCCCAGGGGTGGGTGGGGGACACCTGCGTCCCTGCCCTGGCTCTCAGCCACTCAAGAGCACCCTATCAAACTCTCCTGCTTCTCCTGGATCCTCGTCAACAGAGAAGGATCGTTGGCTCCCCACGCAGATCACCAAGGTCGGCACTTCTGTCAGCCCGCTTTGGGGAGGCCGCGGCGGGTCAGGAAGCAGGGAGGTGGTGCGGCTGACCGAGACTGATGTCCCAGAGCGGAGCTGCTGGCTGCGGGGGTGACTGCCTCAGGGTATAAGCTGAGGAACGTGCTGCCGACAGCGAACCTTCAGCAGTGGAGAGGCTGCAGCTGCCCTGAGGGCCCTGGGGTCTCACGTGAGTGAGGAACATGGCGCAGCCTCCGGACCCAGCACGCACAGTGGGGACCTTCACGGGCTCGAGCAGCAGAACCTGAAGTGGGGATCTTGGGTACACCGTCCAGGAAGGGACGAGGGGCCGGGCTGCACACGAGACCGAGCCACGAGGGGTCACCCAAGGGCACGCACTGCAGCCAAGGGGGAGGCGTATTCTCTGCATTTTTGGAGCCCTGAAATGTTTCAACTTTTAAAAAAGTTATCCTTTTTCTATTTTTTAAAGAAAATGTATGTGGAATGGCAAGTACAGAGGAGATGGTCAGGGGCTGCTCTTGTTAGGGGAGGGGTGACCAGAGTAAAGTGTGGCTTGGTCCCCTCCGTGGACAACTAGAACATCAAACACACACACGAGTGTCCTTCAGCTGGGCCGGACATGACCCTCTCGGTACCCAGGGCGAGCCCAGTGGCCTCGGGAGACGGAGACAAGGGGACGAAGCACGCAGTCGGGAAGTCAGGGCCGTCGGGATGTCGCAGGTACTGGATTAGAATAAAAACATGAGCGTCTGGTATTTCCCGCTGCTGCACTTCTCTGTCTTCTCATTTTGAGAGGTTATCTGCCCAGAACTTCCTCTGTCTCAACTGATGTGAGCTTCAATTTCTCTGCTCTTCTTGGTGCCTTTCTGCTCCTTTGCTGTTGCGGCTTCATTCAAGCGCTAGGAGCTGGTTGAGTGCGGTCGCCCCTGTCACATCCTATTGTACACAAAGGCCTCTCCGTTGTCTTCCTTGCTCCCTAATTGAGTGTTTCTATAATTGAAGAAAAAGGAGGCCTGTGCTCCTTGTGTGTAAAGCACTTATTCTATCTCCCCACTCCTTCCTGGGCTGCTTCTGGCCTTCCTCCCAGGTTGGAGACCTGCTTCCTAGATCTCATATCTTCCTCCTCTTCAATTTGCTTCTTAATTTGATGGAATGTCTTCCAGTAAATTTCTGAGAAAGCTTTTGTAAGAGACAAATATTTTGAATCCCTATATGAAAAAGTCCTTGTTATATTTTCACACGATTGACAATTTCGTTAGGCATAGAATTCAACATTCAAAACCATTTCTGTGAGAATTTTGAAACTTGTGTCCCAGTGTCTTACGGGTTCCACTGCAATTGCTGAGAAATCCAAGACCACATTTGTTCCTGCTGTTCTCCTCTCTGAACTGCCCAAGGGCTTTAAATCCTGGGCAGGGTCTTCTCTCGTACCCTGGGCAAGATACCCAAGGGCCCTTTTCATCTGGCAGCCCACATCTTTGGTTCTAGCAAATTTTTCCGAATTATTCTTAGCTAATTTACTCTCCTCCACGTAAAAAGAAATCTCACTATGCTGGACTGTGCTGTGTCAAATCAGCAAGAGCTGGGCACCAGTTTCTCAGGGGCCCCTTCTCGGTGTGAAGCCAGGTTAGAGCTAGACCCGAGCAGAACCTGCCTCAGGCTGGACAACAGAATGAAGGAGGACCACCGTCCCAGAAAGTCATGGTGGTCAGGTAGGGGTGACGGGGGTGACACAGGCAAGGTCCCCGCCCAGAGGCCAGCATCCATGAAATGTGGGTGGATCTTCATGTTCTTTGGGGACAGAAGCTCTTGTTCTCAGGACGCTTCTGGACCCCACTCTACGCACCTGTTCACCTGTATTCTTCATCATATCCACGACAGTAAACTGTAAACATACGTGAATGTTCCTCTGAGTTCTGTGAATGGCTCAAGCAAATTAATTGACAGAGGAGGGGGTCATGGGAACCCTGATTTATAGCCAGTCAGGTGGAAGCACAGGTGACGACCTGGACTTGTGATTGGGCTGAAGTGAGGCAGTCTTGTAGGACTGAGCCCTTAATCTGTGGGATCTGACGCTGTCTCCAGGCACGTGGAGTCAGAACTGAGTTTTTTAGGACACCCGGTCAGTGCCTGCTCAGAACTGAAGAACTGCTCAGTATTTGAAAAGGCAAAGGAACTAGAATAGCAAAAATAACTTTGAAAAAGAAGAATGAAGTTGGAGGAACCACATTAACTGATTTCAAACTTCCTCCACAGCTACAGTGACCAGGAGAGTGTAGCCACGGAGTGACACACAGATCAATGCAACAGAATGGCCCAGAAACACACCCACACGAGCACGGCTGACTGATTTTTGACAAAGGCCAATAAAGGAAGGTAGTATTCTCACCAAAAATGGTGTGAAAACACTTGGACATTTGTAAGCAAAAGAAAGGAAGAAAGAAAGAAAAAGAGCCTTGATCCAAACCTCGCTCCTTATGCAAAAATCAACTTAAAATGAATCATAGTAAATGTAAAACGTAAAACTATAAAACTTTAGGAGAAAATCTTTGTGACCTATAGTTACATAAAGCATCCTTAGACATTGATACCCAGAGCACAATCTATTTAAAAAATAGATGAGTTGGACTTCACCAAAATTAAAAACTCTGGTTCTGTGAAAGACTCTTGTTAAGTAGATGAAAGAAAAGCCACAGATAAGGAGAAAAGACTTGCAAACACACCTAACAAGGGACTTCTGTCCAAAAGGAAACTCAAACTCGATAGCAAGAAAACAAACAATCCAATAAGAAAATGGGCAAAAGATCAGAACAGACGCTTAGTGGATGGTGCATAAGCACATAAGAAACTGCCGTTAGGAAAATGCAAGGCAGAGCAGTGATGAGACACCACGGAACGACTGGCATGAAAAATCTGACACCACCAAGTGCCGAGAGGGGAAATGGCGCGGCCACTCCGGGAGCCTCGCGTGGACTTCAACTTGAACACAGATGCACGGTCCCAAACCCGGTGCTCATCCCAGGAAGTGAAGCCTGTCCATCAGGGTCTCAGCGGCCCTACTTGTCACAGCCCCACAATGACGGGCACGTCCCTGCAACTGGACTCTCTCGGCAACAGGAGGAACAAACTGTCATCTCAAGGGCACAATGCGGAATGAAAAAGGCGTGGTGCCACTGACATAACTGCCTCAAATGACAAAACTCCAGCGAAGGGGACAGAGAAGTTGTTGCCAGGGGCAGGGGCAGGGGCAGGACAAAGTGTGACTAGCAAGCAGTTTCTTTGGGGTGCAGGATAGTCCCAATATCCTGATTGTGGCAGGGGCTGTGCTGATGCAGACGCGTGATGAAATTCCATAAACCCCCCACCCCTCCCCAACAAGAATGTGTGAACTCCGAGCAGGGTTGTACCAGTGTGCATCTTCTGGTTTGAACATCATACTGTGGGTATGTTACGAATGGGGGGCTGGGTGAAGGGCACACAGGAACTCTACTATTTTTGCAACTTCTATGTGAGTCTGGAGTTATTTCAAAATACACAATTTTTAATTGGTTAGGCTTTGTAAAATGACTCTACGATCCGGTGGGGAAGCAGTTTCTCTGTGCAGGTACCAGGAGCCTGGCCTCCAGATTAGAGGCAGGAATAACATTCTCAAAGAGTTTCATCAAAAATATTCAGGCACGTGTTAAAAATGCACATTTCCAGAGCCACTAAATCAGAAACTCTATGGGAGTAGATGAGGGATCTGCATTGTTTTCAAGTTTTTGAGCTATTTTATGATCAAACAAGTTTGGGGAGTGCTGGTTTAGGTAAAGAGTCTGTACTTACAGAGGTAAACTTTAATTATCTAGAAATTTTGCTAGTCTAGAGTCCTTGGATACTGGATAAAGTGAGAGTTTGTGCATTAGTGCTGGCAGGTGGGTTGTACATTTTTCCCATTTACGTTCATGCCAAGCTGTTCAGACGCTGCGGGCAGATGAAAACTGGGTGACACCCTCCCTGTGGAACGCATGGGGCCACGAAGGAGAGGCTGTACAGGAAGGGGGGCTGTTCTCTTCGCTGCAGCCCTGTCCACATACCACTGTGTCCTGTGGGCCCAGGGGCAGGGGACACAGACCAGGGGGGACCACCAGGGGCTGTGGAGGAGCCAAAGAGGGTGTCCAAACGCTATGGGCCGAATTGTGTCCCTCAAAGCCCACTGCAGCCCTAACCCCCCAGGCGACTGCATTTGGAGATGAAGCCTTTAAAGAGGTTTTAAGGTTAAATGAGGTCATGGGTGGAGCCATGATCCACGAGTCACCGGGAGTGAGCCATAGAGGAAAGGCCCTGTGACGACTCGGGGTGGAGACGACCGTCTACTCGCCCAAGAGGGAGGCCTCAGGAGGAACCACCTGCTGGCACCTTGATCTAGAACTTCCAGCCCCCAGACTGTGAGAAATAGCTGTCTATTGCATTTGTTATGGCAGCCTGAGCAGGCTAAGACACCAGGGAAGCACGGATCCTGGAGAGAGGTGCAAGGGCAGCTGGGAGCAGGCGTGGAGGACAAGGACCAGGTGGGGCTGGGCTGAAGGGGGCGCCTCACCCACTCCTGCTGTCTTCCTTCCGCTGTGAACCTGAGCACATACTCCAGGGAGCCAGGGCTGGGCTCATTGGCCTCGGTAAGGACCCAGCTACCCATGCAGGCTGCCAGGGCCCCCAACCCCTCCTTGGAGCTGCCGGGATCCCCCAGGGGCAGCCTCTGAGGCGGGGATGGGGCCTGGCCTTGCCTCCCCTTGCCCCCCATCCCCATCCAAGAGATTCAGGTCCCTTGGGAACAGCCCCTCGCTGAAGGTGTAAAGTGGGCACTGCCTAAAACAGGTGCATTTTCAGGCTGGCACAGGCTCCAGGCCATTTGTCCAGACAACTTTCCACCTCTTGGTTTATTTGGAATTAGCAGAGTGTTAATTTTATAGTACTCTGATTCAACTTTGTGCATGGTGGGTATCTAATCAGACATTCAAGTAGACACACAAATATCAAACCAAATTACGCTGCTCTCCACCTCACAAATGTGACTCAATTTAGACTATGAACAAAGACCCCACAGAGTGCTGGTGATTTCGGTGACTGTAACAGTTGAGAAATGGCTTAAATAAGAGGTATCTTCTTTCACTTTATTTTGAGAAACTTTATACTTTAATTTCCCCTGACTTGCTAAAGAAAAAGACTGTTTAGGAAGACCCTACCTTAATTATTTCTATGATGCTTAACAGTAAACAGTTAAGTCTGCCCTCGGCTCAGAACTTGTATTTCTGGCTGAGAACGTGCTGCCCTCAGTGTTCAGTCACACAGTTTCTGTGTGACTCACGTTCTCCCAGAAAATCCAGCACATGGCAGAAGCCAGCTCAGCAGTTTCTCTCACGCAGCCACCTCTACACTTACACACAGACCCTCTAATACTTGGGACTGAGGTGAGCGTTTCCAGAGCCCCCTTGCAGGTGCAGAGCTGTGCATCTGAGGGGGACCCAGGGCTGACCGCAGGCCAGGGGATTCACACTCAGTGGGACATTTTAATTTCCCAGTTAGGATATGAAAGCTCTTACTAGCTCTTCACTGAGGTGGCTGTGATTCTTCGTTCTGAAACCATCAGTGCACGTCCTGGGAGGGCATCTGTAAACAGGTGGTACATCCCAGAGCCGTGACCCGCGGCTTGGACCTGCTCCACAGAGGGAAGGACCAGGAGAGGGATGGCGACAGGAGTCACAGACCCAGTGCTTATTCTCCATTCGCCAATGATGGTTTGCACACTCATATCCAAATGCCAACTGAGATGCAAGGGGTACCCAGAGCTTGTGTACCCAGAGCCCTTGGCCCTCTTCCCAACTCGGGATGCTAAGGTCGAACGCTTCTCCTTCAGGTACCTTCACAACCTGGAGAGAAGACTCCCTTCTGCTCAGAGGCCTGAAGCTGTTGTGGACTCACAGCTCCACCAGCTCGTGTGCCCCGCCGCGCGGAAGGACACCCTCCCGACAGCTCTGCAGCAACCCGACGCTCAGTGGCTGTCGGTGATCCAGGGCCGCTTGGTGCAGACGGGACAGAGCTGCAACCATCCCGCATGACTGTCAGCATCAACTCGTGAGCTCCCGCACCAACAGCAGAGACCCTGCCAGCTCCGAGGAGGCCACGTGGGCCACATACACCGGCCCTTCTCCTTTCCTCACGGCTGGGGGAGCAGCAGTGACTGAGCCTCCCCAGTGCCCTCACTGCCCTCACTCGTTACTAGTGCCCCTATTATTATTACCTGTTATTAGTGCACCACCTGTAGCTATTAGGCCATTACTGGAATATTCATCTCAAAATGGGAAAAGTAAATCCAAATGCAAAAGTGCTTTTTCTGTGTGTGGACCAGCCTGAACGGCATAGAACTTAAAAGCTGGTGAAGTCATTTTGATAACAGAAGCAACTGGCAAACCCAACACTGAAGAGGAAAGGGTAAATAATCTCGGATTATCCAAAGAAGCATGCGAAACAGCCCCACAAAAGGAAACTCTCAGGGTTTCTTCTGAGTCACTTTGAGTTCAGTGAACAGAACACCTGATGCCATAATCACAAGCAGCTCTAATTTCAGAAGCTGATTATCACTATAAATCATTCCCTTATACCAAGATTTCAGTTTTCAAAATTCAGAGTTTAGAAAAAAGCACTTCATTATATGGCAGGATCACAGGAAATCGCAACGTGGGACAGACCCCAGCACCTCACTGGGGGGAGAATATTTCCAGGCCTTCTAGAGCTACTTCCTGGTGGGCTTTGGGGGGCTGCTCCCCACTCCTCCCCCTCTGACTGGGGCCCCCACCCTGAGGAGCACATTTCTCCGGTCTTGGGTGGGTGGGGGGCCGGGTGAGTCCTGGGAGCAGCTCGTCCAGCAGGAGGAAGAGTCTGGAGCATCTGCCGTTGGCGGGGCACCAGGGCTGGGCCAAGAGGCAAATGCAGCAGGCCTGGGCCCACCCCCAAGAGCCGGGGCTGTTTTAAGTCTGTTTGGGGGTGATTTGCTACAGAGCATTAAGCGGCTGCTGGCACGCTGAGGCAGTGGCTGGTTTTCAAAGGTGGATGAAGAGAGGATCTTTGGTTCTTGTCCTCACTCAACACCGCATCAACACACGGTCGTGGACCCACCTGAAGTCCCGTGGATTTCGGGACCCCACAGCTGAGACCGAGAACCTCTTCCTGGCCTCCTTCTCCAGGCCGTGGCCCCGCTCCTGGTGGCTTCTAGTCTGATTTCAGCCCACGCCCTCTTCTAGCTCCGAGGGCTCCTGATGTCTGCTGACCAGCTCCACCCACACAGTGCATCTCAGCTCATTCCCCCAGACCCGGCCCCCCTCCAGCTGCCCTGCTCGGGGACGGCCCCGCCCCGCCAGACACTCAGGCCTTTCCTGGACACTTCACCCCTGCAGCAGCTCAGCGCTGCCCGAGCCCTGGCCTCCTGCCCTCTGGATCCGTCCGCCTCAGCCTACGCGGCTGGCCTGGGGGTGCCCCGCACACCTGCCCTCTGGCTCTGGCTCCGCCCTAGGCCGGGCTCCTCTGAAACGCTGTCCCCCTTCTCTAGGGAGCGCCTACCTGGACTGTGCCTTGCGCCCAGGAGGCAGGCAGACACAGGTGCTAAGGGCATGAAAAGCCCCTCTCGGGGATGCCGGGGCCAACTGCAGGCGGCAGGCGTACCTGGGTGAGCAGCTGGTCGGGCGCCAGATGGTTGATCCACCGCGTGTATCGCTCGGTGGAGTTGGGGGGCTCCCTCCTCACTTGGCAACCGATGATCTGTGAAACAATAACAGATAGGACTTAAAATAAATCCGCTGCAGCCGCTGGAACAGCCCTGTTTCCCAATAACTTTCTCCTTCCAGCCTCTAAATAAACAAGAGTCACAGCCCTAACAGCTCACTTCCCTGGCCGCCTCCCTCTGTCTAGGCTGCCACAGCAGCCCCCCGCCCCACGACGCCACCAGACGGGCACACCCCATCCCAGGAAGAATCTGCGCTAGCTGCCCTCTAAGTCCTCTTCCGTACCCTGCATCACCACCTCCTTCCGCCCTTGGTCCTGGAACCCGGCCCTGCCTCCTCCTGGCCATGGACACGATCCCCTCTCCGCATACCCAGCTCTGCACGCTGCCTCTCAGCAGCCCTGTCATGCTGTCTGACAGTGCCCCAGCACCTAGGGAAGCCCCCCTGCACGTTCTGCTGGGGTATCTGCTTGCAGCGCGTTTACACATCTCTAAGACTGCTCAGAGGTAAAAAGGTCCGGCCCTTTGGTCGGTGAGGCAGGTTTGGAGAGAGGCTGGTTCCTGCCGCAGATACCAGGGGTCCTGATGCTCAGACACCAGCAGCCCCAGGGCTCAGAGGCAGGGAACGGGCTGGTTTCTGAGGGAGGGACCCCTCGCAGCAGCAGGAGGGGGCCTTTCTCCTCCTTTCTGGCTGGGGGAGGGCAGCCGGGGTGCCCGTGGCAGCAGAGAGCCTGCCCCTTGGTGAGGGTCCTGTAAGGCTCTCAGAGGCTGGCTGGCCTCGGGGAAACGACACTAACCTCTAATCCCCTGGCTGTGCCTTCTCCACCTCCCTGACCGCCGAGGAACACGGTGAGGAAGGTCAGAGTGGTCGGCAAACCTACATCACTGCCCAAGTCACCTTACTGAGAAACTATTAAAAGTCACCCCACAATATTTGAGTTTCTGAAATCTTGCTCTAATATACACAGCACGTACACATGATGACTAATTTATATTAATGCAGTTATGCTACTGAAGAGTTTTGAGAAGGTTTTTGCTTGCTTTGCTTGAATTTTGTTGTGTGGTTTTTTTTGTTTGTTTTGTTTTCAGTGATTCAGTTATACATATACATGTATCCATTCTTTTTTAGATTCTTTTCCCATATAGGTTATTACAGAATATTGAGTAGAGTTCCCTGTGCTATACAGTAGGTCCTTTTTTGTTGTGTTTTTTTTAAATTAAGCTTTTTTTTTTTTGAGAAATGGTAGATTCCCATGTAGTGTTAACAAACAATACACAGAGATCCCATGTAGCCTTTACACGGTTTCCTCTAATGGTAACATCTTGAAAAGCCAACATGTGGCCTCCACTGGGCTGAGGGACCCTGGGCGTTTCCACGGCCACAGGGACCCCTCGTGGTGCCTTTATAGCTGCGCCTCCCCCCCCACCCAGCTCACAGCCATGAATCTGCTACTGCAGTGCTGTAGTTCTGTCTTTTCAAGAACATTGCATAAATGCAATCACACTGTGTGTTGCCTTTCAAGATTGGCTTTTTTCATTGGTGATTCCCTGGAGATTTGTTCCTTTTTTGGCTGAAAAATACTCCACAGCTCAACCCTCTACAGGACACCTGGGCTGTTTCCAGTTTGAAGCTATTACTACTAGTCTGCTGCACTTCACACAGGGGTTTTTGTGTGAATGTTAAGTCTTCGTTTCTCTGGGATAAACACCCAGGAGCGTGACTGTGGGTCGTATGGTAGTTTCATGTTTAATTTTTAAAGAAACTGCTGTTTTCCCGAGCAGCTGCACCCCTTCCATCCCCACGGCAGCGAGTGTGACCAGTCTCCCTGCGTCCTTGCCATGTGTTTTATTCTGGCTTTTCCAACAGGTGTGTGTGTGGTACCTTGTCGTGGTGGTAATATACACCCCCGGTGGCTCAAAAGGTTGAATCTCCTTCCAGGGGCTAATTTCTCATCTGCCTGACTTTCCAGGGAAGCGTCTTTCATGTCTTTCATCCATTTCCTGATTGGGATAAAACACACTTGGCCATAGGCCTGTATCTTTTTACAAACTGCTGAATTCTATGTGTGAACTTTTCATATATTTCTCCTAAAAACACATACAAAATTCAGCTGTAAATTAGAACAGCCCTTGAATGATCACCTTGCCCAGTTGCGAGGTACCACACCTGATCTGACCAAAGCGTATTTTTTTTAAACTGTCTATTCCATCTGTTTTCTGGCCTTGTTGACACTGTCTTGCATTTGATTGCTGAACAGGAAAGATTTTGAGTCAAAAAACAAAAATGTGGATCAAAGCTGTGAGGTAGAAATCCTGTTTCAGAAGTATTCCCAAACATGAAGAAGAGGCTTAACTTCTATACAGACACCCAGGCCCCGGCCCCATGACTGCTGCGTCATGAACAGATGCTGGGGGCAGCAGACCAGCAGAGTGCAGCCCAGTCCAGCCTGCGCCGAAAGCCACACTTCTAGCCAGACCGTGAGGGGCGGCAGACGTGGTCTTTCTGGGACATGAGCTGACTTGTGCTATTTCCACGGTGAGTGCCTGAGCCCCCTCCCCAAACCTCCTCTTCCATTCTCTGCCTCTGATGAAGGGTGAACCACGCTGGGTGGGGTCTCACGTGGAGGAGGAGGATTAGGTGAACACGAAATGAAGCTGGAGCTTTGGGGGCTGGCTGTTCTTTGAGGCTTTAAACACTGTGAGTGCTGGTCTACAAAGAACAAAACTGAGGATATTTTGTTTGCCTTAACATTTTTTTTTAAAAAATATATTTATTTATTTATTTGGCTGTGCCAGGTCTTTTTTTTATAACAACACCTTTTATTAATTAATTAATTAATTTTTGCTGTGTTGGGTCTTGCTTTCTGTGCGAGGGCTTTCTCTAGTTGTGGCGAGCGGGGGCCACTCTTCATCGCGGTGCGCGGGCCTCTCACTATCATGGCCTCTCTTGTTACAGAGCACAAGCTCCAGACGCGCAGGCTCAGCAGCCATGGCTCACGGGCCTAGTTGCTCCGCGGCATGTGGGATCCTCCCAGACCAGGGCCCGAACCCATGTCCCCTGCATTAGCAGGCAGATTCTCAACCACTGCGCCACCAGGGAAGCCCGCCTTAACATTTTTTAAAAGAATGCTGGCCTGGACCACAGGGCAGACAAAGGCAAACCATAAAAAGAGGCACCTGCAGTGGGATGCCGAGCTCCTCTGCCGTGCTGTCTGCCCTGCCCTCACGCCAGACCACTGTGGACACCAGGCCAGCACGGTACCTTGTACACAGTCGGTGCTCAATAGACACAGGCTGAATGAACCCAAAGAGTGGGAGACTGAAAACATTCTTGAAGAAATAATGGTCAAAAATTTTCCAAATCTGATGTGGGCTATAAAACCACAGATCCCAGAACTTCAACAAAGCCCCAGCAGAGCCAACCTTTAAAAAAAAAAACAACTCATGCTTGTACATATAATCAAATTGCTGAAAACCAGTATTAAACAGAAGATCTTAAAAGGAGTCAGAGAAAAACACCTATTACACACAGAGAACCGGATATAAGGATGACAGCAGACTTCTCCACAGAAGCAATGGAAACCAGACAAGGGAGAGACATCGTTAAAGAAAGAATGACTTCAACCTAGAATTCATTAGCCAAGTACTATAATTTTCAAAAATTAAAGCAAAAGAAATACTTTTTCAGAAAAACGAAAGCCAAAATTATTCATCACAAGAAGACTTAAATTACAAAAAAAGATGAAGGAAGCTCTCTGGGGAGAAGGAAACAACCTGATCTATACCAAGGAATGGCAAGTGGCAATGACAGTAAACAGATGTGTAAAAGCAGAAGACATCTTTCCATGTGCAACTTCTTTATAAGATAATTGACTTTGGTAAAACTAAAAGCAAACGCTGTGGAGTTTACAGCATAAACTGAGTGGCAGGATGTGACTCTGTAACCTTCTTACGCTCGCCGTGAGACGGCGCCACTTATTTCAAGTAGCGTGTGAGGGGTAAGAGGCGGACCCTAGGCCAACCACTGAAAAATAATGAAGCAAAGAGGGATAGCTGGTAAAGCAATAGTACAGATAAAATGGAATCACAAAACAAAACAAAACCAAAAGGTAGGAAAGAGGAAACCAGGAGGAAAGAGGCTTGACGCAAAACCCAAGCCGGGCGATGAAAACCAATTACATGCAATGCAGAAGGAACAAAGTAATAAAAAGCCGAAGTCAATAAAATAGAAAAGACAACAGAGAAAACCAGCGGGGCAGGGAAGGGACAAGAGTGTGGCCGTGTTAGGAGGTGTGCCGTTCTGGGGTAGCTTGGCTTGGACGTGGCTGGGATCGGCACCCATCTGCAAGATCTTATTCAGAAACTGAATTTTTTAAACTTCACTAACCTCAGTTCTTAATGGAAATGAGAACCGTTACCGCACACCCACACAGCAAACTCAAGTAGGGAAGTTATAAAATGAACCTGGGACCCGGCAACACAAATTCTGAGAGGAGGGCAGCCCACCCTCCCCACCCACCATCCTCATGGTGTTGCTAGAGGGTTCCTCTAAGCAGGGCTTTCAGAACCATGGTCTGAAGATGAAAAAAAAAAGGGCGGGGGGGAAGAGAAATGTAAGGCTATAATTTTATCAATTAGCTATATTTATGAAATTAGTTCCTAATTTATACTTATGCATAATGACTACTAAAATATAAATTGAAATTAGATTTCATTAACAACTCCTATTTGTCTTATGGACCCAATCCTTAAAATACTTCAAGTGGATACATTTAGGAATGGAAGCAATGTTTTAATATTTTAAGTTAGATTAACAATTTTCCTTATTTCATACTCCCAAATGCTTCTTGTCATCAAAAATCTTTTCGAAAAAATGACTTTACTTATCGATCAACTTCTACTTACCTGGACAACAATTGCCACTAGGAAATAGGGCCATTCAAACACCTGCTAGTTCCTGAGAGGCTCACCTGTGCTTACTCATCTGGAACGGTACATGTCAGATGTGGCTGGGGTGTGTGGAGGCCACACTCCACAA